TTCAAGATAAAATAAATTCAGCGGGAGATGATACAAGCCGATCAGAAGACGTTTTGATGTTTTCAATCACTACATGCTTCAAAAAGGCTTTGAGATTGTCGTCATTTTCATATATCTTTTCGCTCAAAATCCTGAAGAGCTTCAAAACAGATGACTTGGTTTCCCTTTTGGTTTTTTCTAGTTCGCCATAAGCATAAAGCTCCAGAGTGGAATAGATATTCTCCTTTTTGAAGAATAAAGGAGGCTCGCTGAGACCTTTCATCTCGGTTTCAAGGTAAAACTTGAGCAAAATGGCAATGATGAACATCTGGTTTCCAAAGGTGCTGCCCTTCCTTCGTGTATTTACCATCGAATATGGAATGGGATATGGAAACAGAAATTCCATGGATGCTCCATACCTGACATTTTGGATATTTTCGCAGCAATTGACAAAAGAGCAATCAACAATCAATACGCGAGTTTTCTTGCTGCTCTTTTTCAAAATATTCTCGAGCTTCTTGTTCAATATCTTTTTGAAGGACTCAGCAGTAGACGGCGTAAGAGGCTCTTTGATCTCAAAAATGGTCATCTTTTCTCCAGTTTGCGATTCGAATATCTTTTTGTCTCTCAAAAACAGGAAACTGTCAATAAGCAGATCAATGACCTTCCCATGCTTTTCATCGGATTCGTTTTTGTCAACCCCAAAAGAAGAGACCCATTTGAATGTTCAGTTTTCTGCAACGACAGTTCGTTTCTAGCATCAAGGAGTCATTACTTTGATCTTGAGCAATGCGGGCACGTTGGATTGATGTCAAAAGAACGGGGACCAGAGATCGATTAATTTCTACCAAATTTGATGAAAGCTTGGCGAGTTTCCTGCATTGTTTATAAATTTTCCGAATTGTCTGTAAATCGGATTAATTGTCTTTAAATTGGATGTCACCAAATATCTGATTTTCAATCTTTTAGTTTGCTCACCAATTCATTTCATGTTTGCAGTAAATTTTATTTCCGTTGATGCTCCAAATTATCTAATAAGCACCCAAAAAAAACTAGGTTAAACTAACCTGACCACTAAACAAACTAATTAACCAAATAATTGTCCTTTTAATGTAATTTACTGCTCCCTTTTCAGCTGCTCCAAATTGACTCGTATTGCGGTTTTTGGGCCGTTTGGAGCGTTGTGCATGTTTTTCTTGCATTTTACGGACATTCCATATCATTCCATATGATTGTTGTCCGCTTTTGAGACAATAAAATTTTAGACATTTTTCGCCATTTTAAGCATGGCATGGTTGGAGAGTGGTGAATAAAATTATTTGATATTCGCTGATGCCAAGTTAAATTCAATAAAAACAAACTAAACCCTAACCCAGTTTGCAAGGCTCTTTTTCTCAGATCGGACCTGGTCAGATGTCCGCATGTTTTGGACACCGCTGTTTTTTCCTTTAGACCCACCTAAGCAGCTTCATTCTGCGCCTTCGCCCCTAAAATCCACGACTAGAATTACTATGCTCCCTTGGATCATCTGCTCAACTTGTGTTAATATGATCTTTTTGGAATCCTTCTTGCCTCGCTGCTCCCAAATACAGATGTCTCTCACCTGCGAATCCAATCAAATCAAATCCAATATAATCTAATTCCGCCTGCACTCTGACTCGGCAATTTTCCCTAGTTGCAGCTTTCACCCCATAATTTCGTTTATTGCAACATAAAGCATGGCAAAAGCTAACTCTGATCCTAGCATGCTTTTGATGGGCTAGTTTTCCATTTTGATTGGAAAAATTTCGTGTTGTCTTTAAATAGCTCAAAATATTCTGAATCTATTTCACTGTTCATTTGTTCTAAAATCTTTACAAAGATTCAGTAGACACTTTTAGAAAATCTTTTTTTGCAATAGAGGAGGCATAAGAGAATTGAACCCATTTGCTTCTTTACCTTGAATCTCTTTTATAACACGGCGCAACGATCTCGGTTTTATGCATGTTCCGTACTTTTTAACCAGAAATTTTCTAGGTGTTTCAGCCTTCATGCCTTTTGATGATTTTATCAGCCCCTGGATCTTCGGATCGTCTAAAGTATCTGGATTGTTTGATTTTTTGGCTCAGTTAGACAAATTTTGGTCCATTTCGGCGGTTAACCCGACTGGTTGTATAAAAGCTCTTTAAGGAGATTAATTTTCATCACTTTGTTAGTTGATCGAGTCTTCTACCCTTCTATTGCAAATTTAGAGCTACGTTAGTTGTTTCACATTCCTCATTTATTTCAGCTATTTTCTTGCGCATTTCATCTAAAACGCTTCAAACTTTTCAAAAACATCTGAAAAAGCTTTTTGTATCTCATCTGAAAAAGCTTTTTGTATCTCATTTGAAAGTACATTGACGTCTAAAAATAATCGTGTTAATTGGCGGATTAGCCTTTCTCGAGTTTCTTGAAAGCTTTGAGGGTGTGCCTTTCCTGGGTTGACTGCATGTTCTGACATATGCCATGTGGCTAGTTTAATGGTTCCAGCTTTTACATCATTTGCAACTTGTTGAAATTTTCGACGCTGTTGCTCTACTATTTGAGCTGTTAGAGGATTCTCACATGGGCAATTTAATACCGCCAATGGATGGTCCATCGTGCATTCAAAACTGCAACCTCTTTTCTGTGTGCCAATAGAAATCTTTTTGGATTTTGAACTTGCTTCAGATATTGGTTCTTTTTTAGCGCCTCAAAGTTTTCGAGAAAGTCAACCTTTTGTGGGCAAAGTTGTGATCAGGGCAGAGCGAAAATGGAAATCGTACTCAAAGCTATGAGCGGTACAACTTTTGGCGCTGATTGAGGCGAGAGGCGAGAGGCTTGGCGAAAATGCTGCCTGCATTTTATATCCTGTTTTGCACCGGAAATTTTGAATCCAACAGGAATATCAAACTCAATAATTATCAAAATGGCCAATAAAAAACAATAAATTTACCGATCAAGTCTGCAATACTTTATCGAATCGATGCCCCTGTCCTTGGGCTGATGTTTGGCTTTATTCAACAAGCAGACTCTCTCGCCAAATCATGATCTTCTTATAAAGTCGTGCAAACTTTCCATCTACTCTTTCAAGTTTTGTTGCATCGGCCTATTTTCGGCGAGTGGCACAATGCATACCTAACCGAGCTAAATAGAGTGATGCTTATGGGAGACCGTGTCTTTGGAATTTTAACCACATCCAGATGGTGGCCAATCCGAACGATAAAGCTCTTTACGTGACCACAGCAACGTGATTTAAAGTCTCCACACATGCATAATGACGCATCATGGCTGCATTGGGTCTCTTTTTGGAAACAGAGCGCATTTGACAGACACTTGCATGCGCTATGCGATGTCTGGTGCATGGCCAGACTTACCTGATCCCATTGAAGCTTGTTTGCAGCGGCCAGCGTAGGCTTAAATTGGCGATTGCAAAGTACGAACAGGATGTTCGTATGTGATTGTTTATTACTTGATAGTGTTAAAGTAATTGAATTTAGGGTTTTCCACGAGCATTTGGCGCCATTATTGCTGGGTAGTTTTTTGAGCTGCTTCTTGATCTAGCTGAGCTTCAGCTTGCCGAGCTGGTAGATCCTCTTTAGAGCGCTTTCATCTTTTGAAGTTTGCATATTTTGTCGAGCCACTTGAGCTTTTAGAATGTTTAGCGCTTGTTTTTGTAATAAAACTTTTGCAGCTACCAGATGCCTTTGAGCTGTTAGAACTTTTTGAGCTATCAAATCCCTTTCAGCTACCAGAAATTCTTGAAATACCAAATTCTTTTGAGCCACTAGAACTTCTCGAGTCACCAGATCTAAAAAATCGGGTGACTTTAGTAGCTTTTTTAGCTCTTGCAGGTCTTTTATCTGTTGTAGTTCTTGTAGCTCTGGTGAGCCTAGTAGCTTTTGTAGCTCTGGTAATTCCAGTAGCTTTTGTAGCTCTGGTAATTCCAGTAGCTTTTGTAGCTCTGGTAATTCCAGTAGCTTTTTTAGCTCCTCTAGCTCTGTTGACTCTAGCAGCTCTTGCATCTTTAGTATCTCTAGTAGTTTTTTTTCCAATTTCTCAGCCTTTTGAGCCTTTTTCTCTGATAAATCCATTAGATTCATTAAATTTAGCCTATATGTTTTAACCCCATTTGCGTATTCACCCGATGCAGTTTGTGGATCTTCTGTATCAAATATGGTTATCAGCTCGTTTAGATGTTCTAGTTTTTCTGTACATGGTGGCTTTTTCTCATTTACTACAGCTAGCAAATGGCTTAGAGCCATTAGAACCTGTTCAGCTCGCTTGTTTTTTAGATTTACTGGAGATAGTAGGTTTTCTAGAGCAATGATATTTTGTTCGCCTTTTTTAATGTATTGGGCCAGCACATGTTCTAAATCTAAAATAACTTGTTCAGGGTTTTCAGCGTATTGAGCTAGTAGAGTTTTTTTCTCTTTTTGGGCTATCAAATCGTTTTCAGCTAGCAGAGTTTCTGGATCTTCTGCATAAAGTTGCAGTGAGCGAAGAATGACAATGGCGATCAAAGTTACGAGAAATAGAAATTTCCGAATCATAATCAAAGTATGTGGCTTGTAGAAAAAGCATCTATCACTTTATACACTGTTTTGCACCGTAAATTTTGCACCAAATCGGAGTATTGAATTCAATGGTTGCCAAAATGCACAATTAAACTCCGAAGTTTACACATCAGGTCTTCCCGCTTCTGTACTTGGTTGTCCGCAGAATTGCTCTGCCTCAAAATATTTGAAAGTGAAAGAGATCAATCAAACACAGGGTTAGAGTTGGTCGCTTATAGAGTACTGGATCATTCTTTCTGCCTCTATGTCCTTGTAATAAAGGGGTCTGGTGGCACATATGCGACCCCAATCCATGCTTCACCCTAAATGGGGGATTTTTATTTTCAAAGTTGCATTATCGATTGACATGATCAATTCCGCCGCTAAAATGTGCCAGTTAAATAATTTCAACCAAATGCGCATTTATCTGCTGATCGTCTCTGCGACTGCAATGCATTTACTGTCTGTGTGCTCTTTGGAAAAAGAGGTGCCTTCAGACAATAGGAAAGATGTGACGGAACCGAGTGCATTTGCATATTGTCAGGCTTTACCACCTGCACGCGCCCTATCAATTACAAACCAATGCATTTTACCAAAAAGATCAGTAGGCAAAACAAGATCAATCATCAGCGGCACCGCAACAAGCGAGTCTTCGCAGACAGTATGGATCGACATTGTCTGACGATCGCAACAATAGATTTCGCTCTCATATTCATCAAAAGCACGCTTGGAATCGCCAACTTCAGGAGTATGCTTGATGACGACAACGTGATCAGGGCCGTTTCCATCCAGATAAAGTATCATGTTGGATGCAACCGTGTCCTCGATGACATCTGATTTCGATATTTCCTTGGATCGGAACTGCGAGGACGAGAAGATATTGAGGCCATCATTGTTATCTAAATGTAAGGCAAACAGAAAAGGCATACCCAAGTGATTGTAGGAGGCAATGGAAACACATTCATTTTCGCTCAAAACCAAGTAGCCTGTACCGCTAATGCTGGTCGGGGTACATTAATTTGAAACTTGGATTGATAACCTTAGCCGGGGTGTGATTAAATAAATAGCTGGTTTATTCAAGTGGAATCTAAATACGATTCCATCGCTTAAGGCCATGAAGACCTTGACGGAAGCGACGCCAAGTCCCCTTGAAAAATCTAGCCCTTCCTATAAAGAGCTGGATCGATTGGTTGGCTTATTAATCTGTCATACGAAGCTGGTTCGTATTCCAAACTACTCATACAAATTCAAACCCAGATCCAAGCTCYAGGGATTTAAGTATCATTTCCTTCATAATTTCCTTAGCTCCCTTTATGGTCTCAATGCCATCCACTGAAACCTTAACCTCATTTTTATAATAGGGAAGTTCTAGGGTGAAAACACAGGTATGAGAACTTGGAAGACAATTTACTGTGCCTCCGTGAATAACTTCAAGGTTTTCTGGAATGTTTCCAGAGCCTGTCCAAAATTGAACGAGGTCTCTCTTTTCTTTTTCTGAAAATTCATAAACTATCTCCCAAAACCAATCCTTTTGTGTCTTCAACTTTTTTTTCCAGGTTTTCTTTTTTATTCCAATTCCACTGTTCGTGCAATCTGTCCAAACAGTAATGGCTTTCCATTTTTCAAACGCTTTATCGTTAATTTCTGAAAACTCCCCTTCAACTTTTTTTCGTAAATCCTCAATTCTAAATTGTTGAAGTTTCTCTGGTGGAATAAACATATTTAATCCGTCGAGGAACGGCTTAATAGTATCTTCGAGTGCAGAATAGAATATTTCGTGTGTCAGTTCGTCTTTGAGAGCATTAAATTCATCATTTGTTAGCACAATAGATCGAGATATTTCTCCATTTTCCTCTCGAGGAAGATGAGTTCCTATTTTTTCATCAGAAGAAGCTATTAAATGTCGCTTAAAAGTTTTAAAAAAATCCAATTTTTTTTTATCATCGCCATCTTTATAGAAGTCCTCAAGTTCGTTCAAAAGATTAGAATCTGAGTTTGAGAAACCCGTATACAAAGTAGTGTCGATTAATTTCATATCTTCCAATGAAAGCTGAATATTTTTTGGATCGCTTGTCAAAATATGGTAAAAAAGGCCACTAAACCTGCAATCAAGCGTCAATTCTTTAGAAATTGCCAATCCCAGAAAAGCCCCACAGAATTTAGCATATTCTTTATTCTTCCCATCTCTTCTGAAATAAAAGCCCTCTTTATAAGAATTGAAAATCGAAAGTTCCGAAACTTGAAGTTGGATGGCCATCAAACTGGCCCATTCCCTAGAAAATCCATCTAAATCAATCCCTTCTTCATTAAGAAATGAGACCTTAAAATTACTTGCATGTAACAAAGGAGTAGTATTTCCTTCAGTTCTCAATACTCCTTTAAAAGCTTTGAAAGATGACTGAAAGATATTATTTCTACATACTTTTATGCAGAACTTTTTGGGACGAAACTCTTGGCGAGTCATGTTAGTCCTAATCCTATCAAACTCTTCGAGAGGCATATTAGCCATAGCTATAGCCCTATCAAATCCCTCATCGATCTCAGCTCTAACCCTAACCCTAACCCTATCCATCTCAGTCTTCGCCCTATCAAAATTCTCACCCATCTCAGTCTTCGCCCTATCAAAATTCTCACCCATCTCAGTCTTCGCCCTATCAAAATTCTCACCCATCTCAGTCCTCGCCCTATCAAAATTCTCACCCATCTCAGTCTTC